CACCAGGGTATCTGGGGATGGCCACACTGACACCAGGGTATCTGGAGGTGGCCACACTGACACCAGGGTATCTGCCAGGTCCTTATTTTTTCCAACTCTCACTCTCTTTCTCTTAAAGAAATAAAATGCAAAAAAAAAAAAAAAACACCACCAAAAACCTACATGAAGGATAGTAACTCCTCCCTGCCTCTCATTACGGACTTTGTGAAGTAGAAACATAGTTTTTTTTTCCTTCAAAGGTGAAAACACCTTTCATTCTTGCTTTAAAAATAAAAGAAGGCTAAAAAAAATTACCTCTTTTTAAATTATGTGCAAAGTAATTCTGGCTGAATAGAAGTGTATTCCATTTTAGGGGTTTTCTTTTGTATTGTGAAGCTTTCTTTGTACACTTCTTTTCCTTTCTGGATGTAATTTTAACCCCTTGCCATCCTTTAGTGTGATCTCATTGTAAACATTATTGTGCCAAACGTACTGTACTCAGAAGGATGTGAATGTGTATTGTTCCAGAACGTAATAAATATGATGATGTTAAATCTTACTTCTCTGTCCAACAAGGATGTCTCTCTCTCCTTCTGCCTTTTGTACACCATAAATTCAAAACTTCTAAGATGGAGTTGTTACACTCAGTTGTTCGAGTGTTGACCCATCATGAACAAAGTTCTAGATTCAGTCCTCAGCATCCACAAACCTCAGGGCAGTGACAGACACCTGTAATCTCAGCACTTGGGTGGCAGAGGCGGTGTGATCAGAGGTTCAGGGCCAGCCTAGGCTACAAAAGACGTCTCAAAAACCAACCAACCAAAACTAACCCCAGTTTAGTGGGACACATTTGTAATTCAGCACTCAGGAGGCAGAGGCAGGAGGATCCTGAGCTCAGGGTTAGCCTGGGCTACAGACTGAAACTTCAAAACTAGAACAAGTACATAGCCGAGAAAGTTCTATGGGTGTGAGTGACCACATGCCACACAAGCCTGACAGTTGACTGAAGTCTCTGAAACCCACATTAACATGGAGAGAAACGACTCTACAGGTTGCCTTCTGGCACCCACACACATGCCTTGGCAAGCATGCCCACCATACATACACATCAGAGCATTGTTTATTTATTGGGGGGGGGGGTGTTTGGGGCAGAGGCCATGAGTGTGAAGTCGATTCTGTTTTTATGTGGGCTTTGGAGTTGAGCTCAGCTCATCAGGTTTCCATGGCCTGAACCTTACTGATCAAGCCATCTCTCCTGTCCTAAAATCCTTTTAAGTTTAAAACAAAACCCCTCAAGTCTAAAACCCACATACTTTTTTGCTTTTGCCTTTTCCTTTGCAGGCACATGAAGGCTGCGAAGCAATATGTGCTTACTTTCCTGACACACCCCTGCTTAGTGACCAAAAAGGAAAGCCTGGATAGATCAGATGTGCCCCAGGTCCTTGGGAGGGGAGACATCTGTCCCAGATTCAGGCTGTGGGAATCGGGCAGTGATGAAGTGGGCACCTGCATGCAGTTTCTGGTGCTGAGGGCGAGCCTCAGTAGGTAAAGTGCTTTCCTAACTACCATGAAGCCTTGGGTTCAGTTAGCAGGAGCCCATAAACTGGGTATGGTGGCACATAAAATCTCAGTACTTCGGAGGTAGAGACAGAAGGACCAGAAGTGCAAGGACATCCTTGGCTGTATAGCAGGTTACAGGCCAGCTTGGACTACATGAGTCTCTGTCTGAAAAACAAAACAAAACCAAAAACTAAAACAAAACAAAACAACAAACAGCTTACAGAGACAAGCACAGGTAATGCAGGCCTCTGCAGAATTCTGCCTCTGGCTGTTGTAATCCAGGGAACCAGGACATTACCTCTAAATTGGGGGTCCCTCAGGCTCACCTACTGGCAGATTGGCTGACAGAACTTTGCTTTGCTCCCATCTGTGTCCCAAGCCAGTAGATGTCTCTGGCCTTGCTAGTGACTCTCGCACTTTCCAAAGCTTCCTCTCCTCAGGCCCTTTCCCATCATTCCATTTCTGTAGTCCGGCCCCTGGGGTGATGGTAGTCCAGGAGAGAAGACAGGCTTAATGCTTAAGGCCTAAGGCAGACAAGCAAGACAAAAAAAAAAAAAATCCTTGCAGGCTATTAACACAGGGGAAGTGTGGAGAAAGGCGGACTTCTGGAGGAGGCAGGAAGATGAGTATAGGGGTAGGGAAGGGCCTCACAAGGGGGTGTTTAGTATTCCTTGGCCTAGGAGAGTTGGGAGCTTGTGGGGACTGAGCTCAATGAGAGCACTCCGCTCCCTGCCTCAACCCTAGTATTGTTTGCAGTAAGTGGGACAATCTCTTGAGTGTGCTCAACCCACCTCTGTGTATCTTGAGAGAGATGAGTCCATTCGCTGCTCTCTCCAGTAGATGAGAGAGATATCCCTTCAGATGTGACTAAACTCAGTTCGGGGACCCAGTTGGGGATTAAATAAGTACACCCTCCTTTCCTCCCTCCTTATGGACCTCCTCAACTCACCCCTTCTAAGCCATTG